ATATATATATATATATTTACATTTTATTATAAACCTTGAACCCTTAAACCCGTGCTGTCTGCCAGGTGCCGCCGCCTGCGCCTCCCGCGGCCCTTGTGTGCTAGCCGTTGAGGCCTACCAGGGTGCGGCGGAGAAGCGGAAGGTTTTTTGGCGACCACGCGCTCGCATGCGCTCGCACAGGTCTGCTAGCTCGCAGGGCGAAGATCGTGGAGCGAGCGTGGGCGCGCATGGCTCGGGAGGCCGTTGGTAACAGTGGCTGGCGCACACCGATGACCGCCGCCGCTTGGGCCTCGTCGTCTATGGAGCGACGCCTCTCGGGGGGGCCCTATGCTGCGACGCCACACTTGTGTCGCCGCTGTCACACACAGGTTCACCGCAGCCCTGCGCCGCTGCACACGACGGAGTCGCCTTGCGGGTCGCCGAGCGCCGCAGGCGAGTCGCCTACCCGCAGCTCAGCGGCGGCCCCCAACAACTCGTGGTGCTCGGGAGCGAAGTCGGCGGGCGGTGGAATGCCGGTGCGCCCGCGACCTCGTCCGTGTCTCCGAAGTTCGCCACCGGACAAACCCGACGAACCCCCATCCCGAACTCCCAAAGACAAACACTCGGCTTCTCGATTTGCGCTTGTCATCTTGAGCCACGATTTACGTGGTGTCATCCTGCAGGGGCCATGCTAATCTTAGCAGTCTTAGCATGCCTTTCAGCCTGCTGCCTTGGTACACTTCTCGAGTTGTGCACCTCAGCTGCAACATGTGACATGTTCAACAACTATAAATCCTACAGAAAACCATCATTATAATCTAGGTCAGTCTAAACCTACAACTAAAGTCTAAGTTAAGTCATCATCAGATTCTGGGGTCATTATTTGGTCCTTCTGTGTTTTAATTCATGCTTTCGTTCCACTTCATTATAATTAAGCAACAGAATCAAACAAATAATGGGATAATCTGTCCGAGCGTGTGCAAATCTCGGCGTTATCGTGTATGCAATACAAATTGTGCGGTTCATTTGTGCCCTCGCATAAACATTCCCTCAGGCTCAGGTCTTCGGGGGAAGTCTCGTCGCATTCAGGCCTCAGTGCCTTTGGCCGCTCACGGCTTTCAAAACTTGTGTTCACAGACGTTGCGTCTTCAACACCAGGACAACTGTTTCACGTTGTACAAGTTCCAGCCTTGAAGGGGCGTGCGAGCGTTTACGAAGCATATTCGTGTATAAGCGCTGTAGCTTGAGTATGCTTGAGTGTTGTACATGTACCCCGAAGACATCATGAAAGACATGACCGCATGCATGTGATCGTTGTAGCCTTTCAGGTCCTAGCCAACGGAAAAGGCGAGTAGTCCAACCTTTGCCCCGCACGCAGATCTCCTACACACCCGTAGGGGCTGCTTCTTCCAGTTTTTTCTGACTCAGGTTCGGTGAAAACCGGTGTCCGAGTGCTGTCTACAGAGGCTCCATTTTCTGTTACCTCCGGTTCGTAAATTCAGACCTGCCGGATGGCCCCTCGAAGCCTTCGAGGTGCTCTCTTGCATGCCCGTTTTAACGTTGGTTTCTCTGGCATTTTCTGCCTAGGTCACCATGCTAAGTCATAGTCTGGTGTCCCTCATCATTGTTCCCGAGTTTTTGCGCTTGCGTCAGGTCTGCTACTGTCTGATGACGGTTGCTTTGTTCCTGTGGTGTCCCAGATTGATTTCCGGCTTCACCAACTCCCGTCCGGTCCGGAGCCGAATTAAACGAATTTGGCCGGTGCCGATTAGATTATTCGCCAACCGTACAAGACAGAAGGGGCTGTCCCACCGCTGTACTGTTTTAGGACCCGGCCCCCCCGCCCCACCACAAACTGAACCGGTAGGAAACGGAAGCATGGCCCGAAACCACGGATTCCCCCTTGCAGCCACCAGTTAATTACCAGTACAAGACACGGTCCTACTGCATGGAACCACCTCGAATATGTGGCGGCAGCAAGACAGTATCTAGAGCATGGAGTCAAGGAAGCAGAATCGTGACACGCTCGACGATTGGATTGCGCATGTGGCATGTGTGCCAGACATTCTCACAGTCCTTGGCTCGAACCATGACTTATGGAAGAACTTTTTGTCAGGAGCAGCACATCTTTCCAAGTGTGCAGAGCCAAATAAACGAGTAGACTTGCGGCACACATACTTCTTCTACATGGGTCTATGAACGGGATCCTCGCGGGCCCTTGCGTGGATTGACGTTGCAGACCGTGCTCGCTCGCTTCTGAGGCGTTATTGCATCTATGTAGCCATGCAGTGGTCTCCGCTTTATTTGACCTTGCCGTGCGATCACTCGAATCTTTCCGCTTTTTGCCTTTGCTTTGGGATGCTAATCTATTGAGCCAAGGTGTCCGAGACCGCAGCCGATCTTATAGGTTTCCGCGTGTAGCAAGTGAAACAGGCGGCGTGTCTTAAAACTGCACGTCGGCAGTCGGCATCTTTCCCTCAGACGCCGGCCTCGGCACTTCGCCTTCCGTTCCAGAGCTCTGAAGTACATTTTGCGCACGGCATTACAAACATGCTCGGTAATCCAGCAACAATCGACAGCGGCCCATATTTTGCTTGCCAGTCGATTGGGGACGATGGACTTGGCCGCGATCGTGGCTGAAGCTGGGGTCTTTGTTGTCTTGAGTCCTAGGTCAACAGGTCGAACCGACAGTTGCAACGCCCAGGTCATCAAAGATGCCAAAAGCTTGAATGACGTGGAAGATGCCATTGCCCGGGGTGCCAATGTGAATGCTTCCGAGGATTGTTGCAGTGAGTACAGCAAACGCACACTTTTCACGATTAGCCGCGCTTGAATGCAAAGCGGAGTGACAAAATTCATGCCAGCAAGTCTCACATGCAAGTTTCGCTGTGCAGGACTCAATGCCTGCATTGAACATGGCAGTGCAGGTGACGCCCCAGCAACAGTGGGACTTCCGTGAAATTGCATGCCGGTGTTAAGATGCGGCATCTGCATGCACACAGGCACAGCACGAGCAGCTCGTAAAGCTGTTGCTCCGCTCCAAAGCACGTGTGGACGCTCCTGACCGAAAGGCTTGTGGACTAGCGAATTGGTTCGTTGGTATGCTCGTTGCTCATGGTTAGTTTCTCGGACGGATGCTTGTCTTGGCAGGGTGTGACCCCGCTGCATCTCGCAACGTTCGACGGGTCACTGGACACCATGAAGACCTTGATCTCAGCTAGGCCGCTTGTCGTGTGTTCTTTGCAAAGGCGGCAAGAATTCGTATGAGAATATGGTGCAGGGCTGCTGTCGAAGCTCAAGACTGTCAGTGCCTAATTCACACGGCCCACACGGCGTGGAACACCGTGCACAGCCCTGTTGAGAGCCTTGAGGCCATGGCCAAACACCGTTCTTCTTCGTTCCGAATAGGTGCGCCGCCGGGCCGGGTCAACAGACAACAGAGCTCTCTGTTCTAACATCGATTTGCAGCTTTGCTTCAAGGCGGGCGTGTGTGGTGCTCGCAGAAGCGGGAGCTGACCCGAACGTCTTGAACTACAAAGGCTGCTAGCAGTTTCTGTGATCCTGTGATCGGCTGCGTGTCGCAGGTCAGACGCCGCTGCACTTGGCAGCTCATGCTGGCTTGAACGATGCAGCTGCTGGGTTGCATGCGTAAGACAGGCCGGGCCGAAGGCATGTGAGATGTGCTTAACTGTTAGGTCCAGTGGCTGCTGGAAAACATGACAGCGAAGGCTTGCGACCTGCAGGATGGGCCGCATGGGAGTGATGCTCGGTCTCCGAACTTCTGCCGCTTTCGCGACATTTTGTCACAGGACAAGCATGGGCGAACGGCCGTGTATTGTGCAGCTCATTCAAAGCTGAAGCCGACCATTTTGCTGTGCCTCGGTTGGTGTCATGCTATCGGATGTAGGACTCCAGAGTGTTGAACCTGGCTCGCACTTCCTCCCGACTTGTGCAGGAAGGCACCAACTATAGTGCTGCCACTTCAAGGGCTCATTTGCTTTGGCCAGCACAAAAATGCGACGGTAGCGAAAGTCATTGCCAGGTGACGGCTTTCAATTGCACGCCCCCGAGGCATGATGCCTGTGCTGAGGTTGCAAGACAAGGGGGTAGATACATCCCTTCGACCAAAGAAGCATCGTCGAGCTCTCGGTAGATTTGGGGTCAGCAGGCGTGACTTGGTCTTTGTTGTTCTTGGGTGCTTGAGATGGAACGGAGACAGGTGGCAAGTCCGTCAGCTCTGCTTCCAAGCTCTTGGACGACATGGCCAAGAAGGCTTTGTTTAACGCTTGCCAACACAATGCCTGTTTGATGAGTCTTTCTGGATACAGTAAGCTCTGTCACAGTTCTGATATACGCTCGTGTCCATTTGCTGGAGACGCTCCCAGCTTAGATCTGATTCAGTCGGCTTTATCGATGAAGGATGGAGATGTGTTTAGTTGAATTGTTGGCATGAAGGCGTGCATATAGTGCATGCACGTCATATGCACTTCGCCCCACGAAGCTCGACATATCAGTTGAGCTCCAGCGTGGTCCGTCTGGGTGTTTTCTGCAGTGTGTAAGCAAAGCACGCAATCCTTGCCAAAGTAGTAGCACTTATGGGTTTTGTTTGGTAACCAATACCGTGCCAACAAACCGAACCTTGAGTATTACTTGTTTGTGTTTTGTTGATTTTTGTTGTTTTGCTTGGATTTTGTTCTTCTTGCAGTGACGGAAGCCAAGGAAAGAAAGGACGAACAAAAGAAGGGACGACCGCGAGAAAGAAAGACAAAGAGAGACAGAGAGAGAGAGAGAGACACGGTTGTTCCGGCTGTCTGCAACCCCTTTGTACGCGACTTTCAACACTGACGCAGGCCAGCCCCCCAGCAGCATGCACATGACTTTGATTGACTTATGGTAGTTCCTTTGAGCTGTTTGATAGTGTTATACCTTTGCCTTTGCAGATATCTGCTGCGGGGGATGCGTAGATGCAAGTGTGAGTCGTCTGACACTTCTTTTCGGGCAGAGAATGTCCTGCCTCCGTGACAAAGGACGGCGTGCCGATTTGGTTGTTTACCGAGTTGTGTGTGTTTCGGTAATCCAGATCTTCGTTGTAGTCTATGCCTTCCCTTTGGGTGTAGTACCTCCTTTTCCACTGGGGGGATGCAGAAACTGAAGCGAGCAGCCTGCCAAGGGGGACTTGTACTTTTACGGTCCTATCTCTTAATGCACCCTCTCTGAGCTACTCGCGTTCTTGCATGTGTCCTTGAGAGCATACGACCCACGGCACTCTGTTATCGCACACTTTATGGCTATAGCCTTACTGTGGAGTTTATGCTCGTATCTCACTCCCCGTTGCCCAACAACACGTTGGGTGGGCCAGGTGCCCGGGGACGCTGACCCGTCCCCATGCCCGGGAGAGAGAGAGAGACACGGTTACAGTTGATGACTTGTTGCTGTCACATGAAAGTGGGAGCTGTAGTGCACTCAGCCGCACGCTATACTTACCAGTAGTAACGGTTCGGTAGGTTTGAGATAGGAGGGTTGCCTGTTATGGAGCTCGATGGCCGGGAGCGCGGCCCTACAGTTCTTCCTTCAATGCGGATGGCTCTTCGGTTGGTGGCCTTTCGGACGAACCTGCAAATGCCATCCATTGACACGGCTCCGCTGAAAGCTGTTGAGAAGGAGATCTTCACACAAAGAGGCAAACCACGCAAGCCGTCTCCGGTGGAGCCCGTCATGGCGATGGAAAAGTTCGTCGTGAACGATGCTCGCCGTGAGCCGGCTCGGGTTTTCCTTGGGTGGACGTTGTGCATGATCTCTGCATCCCTAGAGCTCGACGACGCGATCCATGTCAAACCAAACAGATGGAAGGTCTCTTCGGTCTCGTGGCAGACGAAGGCCGAGCGCGAAAGTCGCGGCACAAAATTCGTCGTGCCTGATGTCTCGTTCTCAGAAGCCACCTGGTTCAAGGTCGGGCCGGATTTAGTGACTTCTGGATCCCCGACCTTGTGACCAAGACAGCCGGCTTTCGACCCCGCCAAAATTACGTGCGATCGTTGTAGTGGATGCACCATCTGGTCTGGACTGCCGGCAAGTAAGACAGTCTTTCCAAAGGGGGTTCTGGGCAAAGTCACATCTCTAACTCGGCTCTCCGCTCGGGTGACGATGCTGGATCAAAATAATTGGAAAAATCTTGGGCCCTCGTGCCCAGGATACTTCTCTTGCTGAAGTATACGAGATCTCGCTCATGTTTGCCGGCGCTCGTGATCAAAGATCTCGTTGCAGAGGTCTCCAAGGACTTTGATCCTGAATGTGCTCTTGAGGATGACGTCATCGATGACGAAGAGGATCGCGATGCGTGTCTGGCTGAGACTCGTTATTACTCGTAATGCTCCCGAAAAGGGGCGAGCTACGCGTACAAGTTCCACATGTGCTCAGCCGACCCTGTGGAGGAGATGATTTGTAAACGAGCGATCACCCTGAGTTTGTGCACATAGGGTGAGTTCTTCCCGCCTAAGATGTTGTGCAAGCTCTGTGCTCGAGCTCGACCCGATGCGGTGTTTCAACACCTCGTTAAGAGCCGAAAAGAAAGTAGGGAACTCCTTGCGCTTGTTATTGAAAGCTTGGAGAGACTTTCCTCTTTATCAGGATGTCCGGTGCAAGGAGATACCTCTGCTTTCATGTCTCCATTCCCTCAAGCTCCGAGAGGTACCAATTAGCTTCCATCGTGACTTCGCAGGTGTTGAGATACCCCAAGGCGATGAAGCATGTGCGAGCCGTGAGAAAACCAAAGCTCTCCTCAAGAAGGTTCGCGAGGATCGTGATAAGGACGAACAAAAATCTTCCAAGCAAACCTGGTGGCCAAGGTCGATCGCGCGACCCGCAGATTCCAGAGAAAGAGTGGAAGTAAATCATGTCGTTCATCTACACTGGCGCTCGCATGTGACCCCTGGCACAACTGTTTGCTCAGCTGTCGCTTTGGGGATCAGTGCCGAAATGCGCATGTGTGTGCGTGTGTGTATGTGTGTGTTGTGCGGGGTGATCACCCCTACCATGGCAACCACTGAGCGATCGGATCACCGCCTGGGTTCTTTGGTCTGGGATGCCACGCTCCTGTCTTAGACAGGCCACCTGGGGACGTTCGATCCACTCCAGTTCTGGAGATTTTTGCTCCCGTGCCATCTGCGGCTAGTGAAGTTTCTTTGCCGAAGCTCCGTTCGGAAGCTCTCCGCCTTGGGCGTTCGGCAGCTAGGTCTTTGGCGAGATTTTTGCATATTTTTGCAGGGTCCAGCAACTTCACACGTCATCTTCGGCATCGCGATCTTCTTCGATTTTTTTTCCATCGATATCATGGTCTCGGGAGAGGTTCGTGAATCTAGAGATCTCGCGGATGCCTACTTCTCTGACATCGTGTCCTACTTGGTCGTATGGGCGCCATTGCATTTCTGCACGTTGGTCGCCCTTGTTCAACTGTCAGCCAAACTCATCTGTGGAAGGGAGGCCCTCGCCCTCTTCGTTCCGTGGCGGCTCCTCTCGGGCTAATGGTCTTCATGCAGGAGAAGGACCACAGCTGTTCACAGCCAGCGAGCTCTTGCACAGATCGCTCCTACTCACCGAGTCTGTTGTTCTTGGTGGTGGTGATGTCTCTCGCGAGAATCCTGGGCGAAGTCTCCTTTGGCAAGTTCCCCCTCTCGCACGCGCCATTTGCGTCGAAGGTGCACGCGCCATTTGTGTCGAAGGTACACGGAAGTCGCCGATCCTTGTGACGGTTGACACTGTTGAAACATTTTCAGACCCTTGAAAAGACGATCCAAGCTTGCAGCAGGATGGACACTCGAATGAAAGAAGGCCCACAGAAGGAGTCAAAATAAGAAGGGCAAATGGAAGGGGTAAAAGGAGGAAACCCAGACTTAAACTTAAACCTTAAAACGAGTAAACCCAGGCCGAAACCCTAAAAGGAGTAAACCCGGCCAAACCTTAAAGGAGTAAGCCCGGGCCGAAGCCCTAAAAGCACCAACCCCAGACCGAAGCCCTAAAAAGAGTGAACCCAGGCCAAAACCTTTAGGGGAATAAACCCAGGCCGAAGCCCTAAAAGGAGTTAAACCCAGACCGAAACCCTAAAGGAAGCAAACCCAGCCCGACGCCTGAAACGGACCCCCAAACTTTAAAAGGAGTAAACTCGGACCGAAACCCTAAAAGGAGGTTGTTAAGAAGGGCAAGTGCCCAAAAGGAGTAAACGGACCCCGAAGCCCTAAAATAAGTAAACCCAGGCCAAAGCCCTAAAGGAATAAACCAGTAAACCCTAAAAGGGGTAAACACAAACGGACCCCGAAACCCTAAAAGATGTAAACCCAGGCCGACGCCCTTAAAGGACGAAGCCCGGACCTAAACCCTAAAAGGGGTCGAAGCCTTCAAAGGATGCCCAAGAGGAGCCGAAACCCTAAAAGGAGCAAACCCAGGCCGCCGAAAGGAGTAAGATTGGAACCCTAAACGGAGTAAACCCAGGCCGAAGCCTGTGATGTTTCAAAAGTCTGAACAATCACAGGTTCGGGGACCCCGTGTGCGCCGCGCCAGAGCATGTTTTCTGCGCGTGCGGGTTGGACGCAAAAGCGCGTGCGCCTTGGACCCCCCTGCCTATCAGCAGCTGAAACTCAGACACCACCTCTACAATGTTGATTTCGATCCGTGCGAGTATGGAACCCTTTCACAAAAACCAACCCATCTCTTGGCCAGCAATGCTCGTTCCTTTTCGCTTGTTCGCATCTGCTCAGGCACACATGTTCCTGTTGCGCTGAAGGGAAAGGTTCGCGCGGCAGAAGGCCAGCTGGTCTTTGCCACAAAGCCGGCCCAGATCTATCAGCCTGCTGGCTGCGATGCCTGGGCCGTGGTCGTGCGGCAGATCGTCGATCACGACCGACTGGCGATCGCAAGCGAAAGCTGGGCGATCAAGTTCCATAGCAAGGTCATCGTCAACCTCCAGCGGCTACCAGCTCAAACGGGCTCCGGGCTGTCACATGCGAGCCAGGCGTCGTCGTTCCTTGGGCGCTCGACGTGCTGTATCCGTTCACTGTGCCACCTGACCTCACAAGATTGTCCAGAACATCGATACGATTGTGGCCAGACCTCTGGCCTTAGTCGAACGACGTCACAAACGCTTGGAGTACTGGAAAGATCGGGCACAGCTCTCCTGGGTGATTCTGCTCGTAAGCTGTGTGCTATCGCTGACCCTGCTCTTCGGCGCTTGCTTCGAGGAGATCCGATTGCGCGGATCTCCAGCTGGGCTCGGTTGCGCACGTGAAGCTCTACACTGAAATTCTACAAGCGGCTGCCTGCGACAATCGTTCTCTTTGTCGTTAAGGTCTTCGCCAAGGCTTTCCGATCGTCGGTGAGATTCAACGCTCTGGCCGCTGGCCGCTTCTACAAAGCCACCAGCTCTTGTTAAGGGGCAAAAGGCTGAATCGAGGGCCTGGGAGTTCAGGGCGAAGATCTTCCGTCGGTGCAATGCAGGTCCAGTTTCCGAAAAATCAACCAAACAAAACAAAGTACACAAAAAAGAAGGAGGACAGTCACGATCAGTAGGCCATGTTCCGAAAGCCACAAGAAAAAGCAAGCGCAACCAGACAAAATAACACAAAACACAGAAACATCGACAGAAAAAAAACGTCGCTCCACCTGATTACATACCACGGACCTAAAACCCAGCAATTTTTTGCAACCTTTGCAGTGTGACACGGCACCAGTGAGATCAGGAGAACGAGTTCCACACATTTTTCAGCCAGCGTTGCAGGCGGAAGCAGCAAAGATGCCAGAGCCTTGGGTCGCGCAAGGCCATCCTTAGCTCAGACGCCCTTTCGGGGCTTACCCGGGCCTGGGCCAACAGGTGCTCTGAAATGAATGCTGCTTGGTTGGGGGTTGTGCTTCTTCGTGCGAGCCGATTTTTGGATCTCCGGTGGAGTCAGTCAAAGAGAGCACAAGTCGCTTGCAGAAAATCCATCCATCCATTTCTGCAAAAGACTCTGGCCTCATTGTTCTTGCCGGCTGAGGCGTCGGATGGAGGCACGCAGAGTTATGAGAGGATTTCGGCTTGCCCACTTGCCCACGTTCGTGCACTTTCACTCGCAGGCCGCTGCTGTGCAGAGGGAGGAGAAGTGGCTTTATATATCCCTTGATCAGGGTGTGGGCAAGTTTCTGAGCGTTTGTGTCTTTTGAGTCGCTGGGGAGGCAAAGTTGCCACCCATGTGCCCTTCCTGCGTCCATTTGCGTTCCTGTGTCGGACTCGCTTCCGGTGGTGTTCCTTGGCGCTGACGCGAGAGCGCCCCGAAGTGCCATACACGACAGACATGTTTACTGAGTATACTGCTTTCTACCACAGGTCTCGATCATTCAGGCTATGCTGGGACTCCTACCGCCCAAGTGTTCATCACACAGCCGATAGCAACGAACACCGAGTTGACCGGCGGCCAGCCCGGTAGTGGCAAGCCGCTGGTCGTTGACATAAGATGTGGTACCCCTGCCAAACAAAAAGCTCTGGGACAAGATGGCTCTGTTGGACTGCTTGCTTCGATGCGGAGGAAGCTTTCGAGGCGCCGATGGAGGCAGAGGTCGGGACTGGGGACTCGGGGACCAGAAGAGCCCTGCTTTGTGTTTCTTTAGCTCTTTGGCGACTTCTCAGGCAGCGGTGCAAGAGGCCGGCCTTTCAGCGACTTGCCTGAGATGTGTTTGGTTTCGTTGTGCCGGGAAGAGGCGCTCGAGAGGGCCAGGGCTGAAGAAGAGGCAGATATCTGGACGTTCTTGACGGCAAGTCCCTGCCCCGCCCGAACTGCACAGCATGGTGCTGAATGAGACGCAAGTGGCAGGCAGCGGAGATGCGCAGACAACAGGCGGCCAGCGTGACAATTTCCCGAAGCTTCATCTGAAACGGCCATCTACTGTACAACTCAGCCGAACCTCTCTCCTCATCGCAAGCGATGATAAGCATGTTGCGGCCATGGGGCGTTGTTCCGCGCAGAAGCTTTTGTGTACAGGAACAGCAGCGGCTTGAAGAAGAGAAGCGGCAACGAGAGGCGCACTGTGTCATGGCAGTGGTGAATTGCAATGCAGTAGGTTGTTTTGCTGCAAGAAGCAGGAAGAGGAAGCCTTTCAGAGGGCCCTCGCAGAGGAAGAGGCATTGCTGGAGCAAGAGCGGGCTGACAGGGAAACGCTTGTTTTGGAAGAGTGTTTCTGGAAGTGATAGAGTCGCAGATGGTGCTTAAGTTAGGCGGTTAAAGAAGACTGCAGGAGCGTGCGCGCCTGGAGGAGGAAGCGGAAAGGCGAAGAACGGAGGTGCACAGCTTCCAGCTCGGAACCATCAACAGCCGCGACTAGCTTGTTTTGCGGCAGGAGGAGGCAGCCGTGGCGGCTTTGGAGAAGGCCCAAGCAGAGGCGGTGCTTGCTGGGTGACATGTGGTGCATGCAGTGCTTGCTGTTGCAGATGTGTAGGCGGCAGCTGAGATGCGCAGACAAGAGGCGGGTAACGGGAAACTGCTTGCTCGCATCAAGGCGATGAGGATCCTGTGTTGCATGGGCAGCGGCACGACAAGTTTTTCTCTTTGCTTTCTGCGGCAACTTGACGCGAGGAGTATTATGTGCATGGGTTTCTGAGAGTACATGATCAATTGAACAGACACCAATTCACGGTACAGGAGCAGGCAGCGCTTCAGAGAGCCCAGGCGGAGGAGGAGGCCGGACAGGTCTGGACTTGAGATTCTTAGATCCGCATGTCCTAGCCACGGTCATCGGTATGTTGCAGCCGTGATCAGCCGTGACACGTCATCTTACATAGCTCTTTGTGTGCAGGAAAGGGAACGGCTAGAAGAAGAGAAGCGGCGACGAGAGGTGCACAGCCATGTCATGTTAGGCGAAAGACGACAGGGTTCGCGGTGGGGCAAAAACCAGCGCGTTCGAATGATGCAAAGGCCGAGGTGGGGAAGGCTGCGAAGGCTGCGGATTGAGGGAAGGTTTGCCCGATGTACGGGGTTTGCGCATCCGGAAGAATGCAAACGAAGTGGAGAACAGCTCTGAGTTAGGAGGCTGTCCAGATGAGATGAAGCAGCATGCAGGAAAGTGCACGACTGCAAGAGGAAGAGGAAAGGCGACGACAAGAGGTGACACACTGTTGTTCTTTAAAGGTAGTTTCCAGCTTGCAGATGTTGCTGGTCAGCATTGTTGAAGGAAGAGGCGGCTTTGGAGGCGGACTTGGAGGAGGCCCGTGCAGAGGCCTCGCCTGCTGAGCACCACAAGCCGAACACAGGCACAGGCTGTACAAGATGCTTCAATTTGCAGAGTTGCAGGCAGCAGCGGAGATGCACAGACAACAGGCGGGAAGAAAGTGCGAAGCCCACGATGCAGAAGAGTTACAGTTTTTGAAGCAGTGTAAGCAGGAGGATCTTGCACGAGGGGTTCGTTGATGTTCGTCGTTTGGGCATGTTCGGGTCCGTGATCATGTTTGCGGGCACACCAAAAGCGACGACGAGAGGTGCACTGCCATGTCATGGTAGTCTTAGTGAGTGAAGAAGCGACTGTCGCACATTCAATCATTACACTACAAGAAGCAGGAAGAGGAAGCACTACAGAGGGCCCTGGCAGAGGAGGAGGAGGCAGTCGCGGGCACTGCCGCAGTCAGAGCGAGCTGTCAAGCAACCACTCTTCTGAAACTGCGAGTGCCTTGGTCAGGAAGCTTCTCCGACCAGTTGGAGCAACACACAGGAAGGCGCATGCTTGGAGGAGGAAGAGGAACGGCAAAGACAAGAGGTGCAAACTGTGCAGAGTCAGAAAAGCAGTTTCTGTCAAGAAGCTTCCGGCTTACCTGCAGATGCTCAGCTGTCGTTAGCCGTGTGTGGCAGGAGGAAGCGGCATTGGAAAGGGCCCGCGCAGAGGCGGCGCCGTCTTGGTGGTAAGTGGCGCGTGCAAGTATTGTGAGATGCTTGTTGTTGCAGATTTGCAGGCAGCAGCGGAGATGCACAGACAAGAGGCGGGAAGAAAGAGCGTGCACTGATTAGGTCAGCAAGCTCAGTGTTACAGTAGCAGGAGGATCCTGCACGAACGGTTTGCCTTTGGGCCGGGGCATGTTTGGGTTAATGGTCCGTTTGCGACATGCTTTGGACAGCTTAGCCACAGGAGGAGGCTGGACAGGTGAGAACTTTCACGGTCAGCCGAAAGGTGCGTCATCTTGCATCGCTGAGTTTGGGTGTGCCGGGTGTACAGGAAGCAGATCGAGCGAAGCGACGACGAGAGGTGCACCGCCATGTCATGGTGGTTGATGATGCGATTGTACCACATTAAACTGCGGTGTAGTGGCGTTACCAGAAGCAGGAAGAGGAAGCACTGCAGAGAGCCCTGGCAGAGGAGGAGGCAGTGGCGGGTGTTACCGTAGTCACAGCGGGTGTCACAGGTGTATCGGAGAGATAGCCTCGCGTCTGTATTCCACAGAAATCCGACAGTTGGGCTGAAGAATGCTGGAGTTCTCGCGCAGCTCGTGGCATGCAGCAGCGGTTCTGCAGCAGGAGCGAGAGCGATTGGAGGAAGAAAGGATTCGTCGGGAGGTGCGCAGCAGCTATCCCTCAGCACCGGGTTTGTTCCCTGCTGCTGTTCTCGCAGGAAGAGGAGGCTCTGGCGAATGCTCGTGCAGAACAGGAGGCTGGCAGCAAGCCGTTTGGAGTGATGTTATCTTGTCGCGGACGATGCTATAAGGCCTTGTGCTGTTTCCTCGATGCTTTGCGTCAATGTCTACAGGTTTCGGGCAGGGGCAAGCCAAGAGCTTCACTCTGTTTGTATGCAGGAGAAGGCGCGGTTGGAGGAAGAAAGGCGACGACTAGAGGCGCGTGCTGTGCAGTGATATCGTGGATCAAGCTCGCATAGTCACCCAAGTTGTCACGGTTCCTGACTTCCTGTATCTGCTGGTTTTCGCAGGAAGAGCAGGCGATGGAAAAGGCACAAGCTGAGGAAGAGGCACCAGTGAGTACTGTAACCAAAGTGGTGCTGGCCACCACGACCGTGCAGCCAACAGTGGAGGTCAAGAACAGAATTTGCCAGCATCGTTCGTCGGAGTGTCGCCGACCCAGGAGCGCGCACGCTTTGAGGAGGAGGAGGAGCGGCAGAGACAGG